ACTCCGTTTCAGAAGCCGAATACCACTGAGCAGCCTGGAGAGGTGGTTTTTAACCATGTGAGAGCGGTTTGACCTCTTAAAGGAAAGAGCACCTAGGGGCCTCCTGGCATCATAGCATTTTAATTTAGATAAAGTTGTTATGGTGACCAGAATGTTCCTTTAAGGGGTTAATTTGCTTAATTACATGTATTCCTGACACCATAGTTGTGAAAACGCTATTCACCCTGGCTTTATGTGATAATGACCATGTCCCTTCCCTTTCATGACACTGTCAAAAAGGGACCAAGCATGGATGTCATTACAATTACGCCCGCCCCCCTGGAAAAATTCCTGCGGACGCCCATGGGGATAGTCTGTTACATATATGTAGCATGTTGGATTGCTTTACATTAAAATATCTAGTTCACCTGGAGAGAACTAAATCAGTAAAAAGTAAATTAACATATGGGATGTACAAAGCAGGAAGGGAGTTAACTTCATCTTATCCCCCTTTATATATTTACTTGTTACGGACGTAAATTTGGGTTGTTTAAGTAGGATGGAAAAAATTATTAACCCTTTCTTTATTTTCCAAACACATCTATGTAAAGAAAAAGAAAGTTTCATGTCTAGTACCCAGAACACAAAAACTATTACAATAATTCACTTTCAATGAGAATGACATTCATGTCCTGTCTTTTCATAGTGTATCGTGTTTGTCTGTACAAAACTGTGTGCCTTGAAGAAAGCTCTCTAGGGGATGTTACATATTTTATTCTGTGTTCTTCACAAATATCTTTTTGAGGGAAAAATCACAATGCAAAGTTTAACCAAACAAGAAAAAACAACAACAAACAAAAAAAAACCCCTGAAAATAAAACCCAGTTGAGTTAAAGATAAAGCACACGTGAGTAAGCAGGCAGTAATCCACATTGCTGTTCAATATACAGCCAGCAGATTCAGTGTCTCACCTGGCGTCCCTCCTGATGACAGGAACCAGCGATGGGGGGCGCAAGAAGACAGCAAATTGTTCATCTCTCTCTGACCAAAGGAGGCTAAAACAACAATTGGCTGGATCTTACTGGTAACACACAGGCAGACAGGTCATGTTTTACTTTAGAATGTTCATTTCTCTGAAGATCTCACAGTCTGTGAGCACAGAGAGGGTAATAGAGGGGTGTACACAAAGTATCAGTCATTGCTAATATGTGTAACATTCTGGGAATATAAAGAGATCATTGCCTTGTTTATTGATATGCTCCTCTCCCACGCGGCTGGAGTGTATATTCTGCCAACCCATGAAGCTCAGCCATCCAAAAGGCTGCAGGGACAGATTACCTCTATATATGTATCTACATACGAATACTATGCACTGTGTACAGAGCACGGGTACTATGTATAAACACAGAATTCATATTTATGGATTGAATTAAATAAATCTCGAAACAGTAAATCATATCCAATATGTTACAGTCTTGGTTACTGATGTGACTGCAGATTTGTTACTGCACATTTTCAGTATATATCGGATTAAAGAAACTTGTATAGTTTAATGTACAGCAAGTGTGTCTTACGTCTGTCTGTCGGTCTGGATATTATATGTCTGTCTTTCGGGCTGTGTATTATATATGTATGTCTGTCGGTCTGGCTGTTATATGTGTCTGTCTTTTGGGCTGTGTATTATATATGTCTGTCTGTCGGTTTGGGTATTATATATGTTGGTCTCTTGGGCTGTGTATTATATATGTCTGTCTGTCGGTCTGGGTATTCAATGTGTCTGTCTGTCGGTCTGGCTGTTATATGTGTCTGTCTTTTGGGCTGTGTATTATATATGTCTGTCTGTCGGTTTGGGTATTATATATGTTGGTCTCTTGGGCTGTGTATTATATATGTCTGTCTGTCGGTTTGGGTATTCAATGTGTCGGTCTGTCGGTCTGGCTGTTATATGTGTCTGTCTTTTGGGCTGTGTATTATATATGTCTGTCTTTCGGTCTGGCTATGATATATGTCTGTCTGTCTGTCTGTCTGTCTAGCCATCTCCTGTATTATATTCTATAGTGTGGGTTTATTTTATATTTGGAAGAAGAAATAACTAATGTATCTACGAATTTACGTTTTTCATACACTGGCCCAGAAACCCTTTAAGACATGTGAACTAAAGTAAGAATTCAGTGAACTCAAGCTGATTTTTAGTCCAAAACAGACTTGAAGAATAGCTGAGTTGGAGAATTTATTTCAAATCGACAACTTACATCGTGAAATTCCCTTTTAGTAAATAACCCTGTTATAAGTATGGTTTGTTATATACCCAGAAGAGAGAATTTATGTAATGTGTGTATATTTTATTTAGATTTATGTCTCACATTTAGTATTCCATGCATTGCCACGTTATACATAAAGGCTGTAATGTAAACACTGCATAAACAAGACATTACCTTTAATTGGAATAAATTGGAAGAAACGGTTGCAATACGGTTGGTACACAACATATGTTTAGTGAATAGACATTCTTTATTTACCTATTTACCAGCTATAGGACATTCAGCATGACCCATGACTGTGTGTAAGTAAGTATGTTTGTAAATCTGTATGTGTGGACATGTGTGTGCATACTTGTTTGTGTGTTTGATAGCAAGTCCTCTCTCTCTCTCTCTCTCTCTCTCTCTCTCTCTCTCTCTCTCTCTATATATATATATATACACACACAAATAAATTTAAGGCACATTTTTACATTAATCAAAAGTGATTCTGGTGCAAATCAGTGTAAACTTCTCATTGATTATTGGTTTCCATGGTGATAGTTCCACTTTTACAACTGCTTCATATCCTCAATTTATAATAAACCAATCTACTTCATTAAATCTTACTGCATGCTCAGTACACCTTTGACATTTCACAAACAATACCTGTTTTAGATCCTCCTTACTTTAAACGTATCCGGTTGTTAGCAATATATAAAATATTGTTATATATAGAAAAAACACACCTCCTCCAAGAACTGATTACAGTTAATCCACTTACCAACTGTAAGTATAACAGAGAGTGGCTGGCAGCAATTTTTACACTTACTCATAACTTATTTAATGCCCCAGAAAGGTGGCAGACTGTGAGCTTATTTGCCTTGCTAACCAATAGTTTCCTTTAACTACATACAACTCAGAGGTGTTAATTTAAGCATGAGGGGTAAAGGCACACCCTGGCAAACAGGTGATGGAAAAGTGATTGTGAAATGTTTGATTATTCTTCATAAAATATGAAAATGAATTACCTTAGCTGTGTCCAAGTTTGCAGAGAAGATTAGAGAAAGTTAATATGTGATAACATTGTTGTATCCAATAAAAGACATCCTCTGAATCCAGTAAGTGAAGGCTGCACAATGCAATCATTTCTCTGTATAGTTTTATGATTGAAACTTACTGTACACTTAATAAAAACTCTTCCGCCTCACCCACAGAGAAAACTTAATTTTCTTTATTTTACTTTCACTTAAAAAATATACACCTATTTTCCATTCATGCAAAAGAAAATTAAGAAATATTTATTATAAGGAACTTTTACTCAGAGCACATAATAAAATGTTAACAATTATATACATGGACTATGTGCTCTAAAAACTATATCCTTCCTAGATGCATCATTTCTCCCCAAACTCGTTGTTTTTTTACGAAAACACTTCAAGTACATAGATTTCTATTTTGTAACAGTACAAAAATACAAAAGTCACAGTAAATAGTAAAATCACAAAAGTAATGACAGTATAATCAGAATAAGTAGTAAAAAAATAAATAAATAACATGGTATGTGTTATTTATTATTGAGGTTAATAACAAAACAATAATAACAGAAAATATGGTATGTATTGTTTATTATTATTATGTTCCAAACATTTTATGTTGTCTCCTGTTCCAAATATAAAAAAATAATTTATTAAGTCTGTTCCCAAATACTTCTTTAAAAATCTGCTTATTATGTTGTTAAGTTTTTAATTTAAAAAAATAAAGGAAATAAAATGTTTAGCTCCATTATTTTTTTCTCGTGCTTTCTGTCTGTATAATTAGCTTGTTAGATGTCTGCTCTGTTTGTCTGTGTCCTTTATAATATCATCGCTAATCTAACAGCAGTTCCACGATTTGAGATTGACACATGTGATCCTCAGGGCGGATATTTTTTTTTTATTAAAAAATAAATAAAATAAAGTTATATTATATAAACAATAAAAGGCTATTTCCTTTAAAAAAAAAACTATAATCGTAATAAAACATGTATATATACATATATATATACTACATATTACGTTTTAATTATTATTTTAATAACATAATAATAAGATATAATAAAACCTATATAGTATGTTTTGTTACGTAAAAGGTTTTTTCTGGAAATATCGGTTTAAAATCCGAATCTATTGCTTTTAACATAAACTGTCTGCGTGTAATGCTCTCAGTGATACAGTGTTTTTTCTTATATAACATGGAACATTTGAACTATTAAAACAGGTAATAAATAAATTAAATTTTAGAAGGAAAAAAATCGACAAAATGTATTTCGTCCATTACAATATATAATTTAGAACAAGACACACTTTTAGGATCCATAACCTTTGTGTTTCGTACCTATTATTACGATTCAAATTCCAAATGAGAAGCAAGCATTTTTGCACTGTTTACAAAATTATACAAACACAAGTCAACGGTGTTGCCATGGCGATATCACTATAGTGTATTCACTGAACTGCGAATTAAAAGTCATATTGCAAACTGTGGGCAAAAATATATTAAGAAGTTATAAAGTCAGGGCTTGGCTATTTCAACAATTCGGATTTAAATTTACATCAATTGGAAGTGTAGCAAAAATAAATAAATACAACGTTTAAATATAATACAGAGTTCTCTGTAGAATAACTAGGTTGCTTTTTACTTCTGTTTAGGGGGGTGAGGGACGCCCCTCCCCATCCAGACATGTCACCTCTATAACTGTAGAGGTATAATAGGTTCATAAGTCTCTAAAACACATTTATTTTTGCTTACTGACCACAATGAAAATTGACTTATTCTGGCAAATGACTTGGCTACTTTTTGTGCCTTAAGGTATAATATAAAATAGAGGTCTATTTTGTTATTAGTCTCTCTTCTAGAGAGGGAGGTATCGTTTTAGTAGGGACAGAGGAGGCTGTTATAGTACACTGGCGTCTCTAGGGGGTGCTCACCCCCCCATATATAAATCTTGGAGACTCTGTTATATATGGTGAGGAACTGTACTAGGGAAGGGGTAGGAGTGATATGTCAATGTATCAGACAATCTATTAGTGAATCACATACCCCCCTCCCCCCCCCCAGATAGAAATATCTAAATAGAAAAAATGCAACAGGCAACAATGAATCAAAGTGACATATCACATTCATATCATAATTCGCTGTGGCATTTTTCTGTATCATATTTAAAATATCATCATATTAATTCAACGCAATTTTTTTTTTATATATATATATTAACTTCTCTATATATTAGTTTTATTCTACTGAACAATCATTACAATTATCACAATATGCCGAATGTTCGTATTGAAAATGATCATTTTCTCGTCAGTAATATTCAGTCTATTGTTTTGAAACTCTTTGCAGACAGGATCCTTTTTTAAAAAGATATTATTTGACTTGTTGAATTGCCCCCATAATATAGTTACAATATTAAAATATATATTTAGGTGCAAAAAAAAAAAAAAAAGAATCTAAAATTCTGTATCTGTATACACTAAAAAATAACAAAATATTACATTATGGGTGTTTTTGAAACAGTAACGCAAACAAATGACTACCGACTTGCTAAAATACAATTTGTTCCAACTCGGCTGTTTTGTAAACCGATAAAGAAATAACCACATACCTGTATATATAGATCTGAGACTGCTAACCTGGCACAGCAAAAATCTGGGGACTACATTTCCCGTGATGCTCAGCTAATCAGCTGGGAAATGGAGTCCACCAATATTTGCAGTGCCAGGATTAGCCACTAGTGGCATACAGTCTTATCCTGTGATTTGTAACACTATTGCAATGACTGCTGCTGTTATTATTATTATTATCAGTATTATTATTATTTATGTAGCGCCAAAACATTCCGCAGCGCTTTACAATCATAGAATGCAGGCATCTGACTATAAGTAAATGACAAAATATTAACAGGAAAAAAATAGCTGAAGTAGGCCCTGCTAGTAGAGTTAATAATATTGAAGGCCATCTCCCTGGATTTTATAAAAGACACATTGTGCTATGTATATATTCCCTTATTTTCTCTATATATAGTTGCATCTTTACTTACACCCAGAGAATGAATATTGAATGAATATTCAGATTACATAAAGGTCATTAAAACAGACCATTCACGCAGTATCCAGCACATATACCCCTGGGAGTATGTGCTATTTAATTTATTTACAGTAATGTAAAGTCATACCTTACAGTTACACGGCGATAGATGGAATTGCACTGTACACAATTAATATTGCTTTTGATTTGATTCATCATTGGTCCTCAAGAACGGTAAAGCCCACTTTAAAATAGCCAGCCAAAAAAGCATTATTACATGATGCAATGTTTGATGTATCTAAATGTGAATACACACAGTCATGCATACATGATGTAACCAAATACAAGAAGCATATTGTGTATGTATGTATGTAGGTGTATATTTGGCGAACAAGCAACCAATAAAACAAACAGTTACTAAATCACGAGAAGGAATTTGCTTCACTCCTGTATAGACGGACAGACAGACAGACAGAGGTAGATAGATCATGTAGCATTGTATTTGTTCCTAAGACATTTCCAAAGCTAACACATTAGTACAATTAATATTGATACTGTATCACAGAGATTCTGTCATGGATCGTTTCACAAAGTTCCCTCTTCTTCACAGACAAATTGACGCAATGATTGTATGATGACAGAAAGGCCCATCACGCTCAGCCGGTGGGTATCAACGGAAGATGAAAGGGATTGCAGCCTACACTGAGGAAGTAGAAGAGTGTTGCTTTCCCTTTATGTGAGACACTCTTCGTGGGGCAATTATATGATGTTAGCCATCACGGTTAAATGACCTTGACCATCCGCATTCATATGACTCCCACTCCCATCAAGTTTAACATGAATGATACATTAAATTTTGACTCACTGTTTCCATTAAAGTGATAACATGTATTTAATAAACAGTTTGTCACTATAGCCTGAATTTAATCAGTATAGAGTCTTACTTAACCAGCAATTCTGTTGGAGCAGTCAGGACAAACATTCCATTGTTTCCATGGAAACTGTTCCACTTTCAGAACGTTGCGCTAGAACTGTTATTGTCACAATGCCTCTTAGAAATAAAAACAATCATATTAACAATCAGCATACATTAGAAAATACAAGGAACTATATATCACATAACAAAAATACATGTTCTCATTAAAAGAGCAAATCAAGGAAAATCAGTGGATGAATGGTACTTTCAGTTTTTCTTTTCAATTTATTTTTTTAGTATAATTATCAATATTATGATCTATTTCCTCATATTAAAAAATGCACAATCAATCACATTTAACAGAGCCAGCTGGAAGACAATTCAGTAAATAAGGAAGTAAAATCAGTTCCATCATATATAAACTACTTTTAAAACATCAGGCTATCATTTATCATTTATAATATATTACAAAATACTTTATATTCGTCACTCTGCGTTTTGCACACCCCAGATCTGCTTGCCACAGGTTCCTATCGTCTGTACATGGAGTCTTGTATGCCTGCTGGGTACCAGATGGCAAGGCTGTGTTTGCAGACACAACCCTGGCATTACAAACATAATGGTTGTATATCAGTCCCGGTAGAGAAACTCTGCTATGAGACTGCTATGAACAGATCACAACAACCACGGGCATTAAATATGTTAAATAATCCAGCCAAATAGTACCCACCGCAGCAGTTTCAGGTAATTATTAATTGTTTGCAATGGGACAGGCCCCCCAAAATCCCATGACTGTGTATGGCATAGAACTGACTTAAATAGGACTATTTAAAAACAAAATATGCACAGCAGCGCATCGGGATGATATCATATTAACCCTTGGGATTGTATTTACAGTGAACCGCAACTCCCATCACCCCAGCAGATGGCGAGATACTAGTTACTTGCTACACTTTTGACAGAATAAATCGTTTCTAAATAGAAGCAAAAGAAATCGTGAATTAATCAATATATTAATCACAAGAGAACCTTTCAAGGGGTTTCTGTCGTCTTCAGTTATACGTAAATCTTGATAAAAGAAACAGTTTTGCTTCTGTCCTGAGAAAGACAGGAAATGTATAAAAGCGTGTTTTTCTATCTGTATTGTTAGTCCAATAAAAGGAATAACTACTTACTGCAATACTTTAGGCATTCAGTATATTTCAGGTACAAATCAGAGGTGTACAGGTTAACCTGGCAAAGGGCAACTGCCCAGAGAGGCATTGTAATGGTCAGTTGGTAGCAATGAGCATCCTGACCTTTAAAGGTAAATTCACATTAATGGGTGATGATGTGAGCTCAGAATAACAGGATAGGAAAAACAAACAGACAAAAAAAAATGTCCAGCTGGGATAAATGTTTAAAGAGGATTCTCAGCTCACCACAACTTTCTGTTCAGTAAATACACTCTGGGTGTGACGTTTAAATGGTTAATAGTCCACATTGTAGAAACTGGGGAATTTAGATCCTATTGCAGTGATTATCTTAATCGGTGACTGTAAACTGCTGCTTTCAAAGGGTCCAGAGATTAGACTAAGTTGGTCTCTGGGTGCATTTACTGAGAGTATTTATCCTGTTTCCTTTTAACACTGTTTATGTTTCCTTGTCTACCTTTGTGTTTTGTTACAATTAACCGGTTTATTGTATACTCAATTGAATGTTTTTGTGATTAGTGAAAAATACTAACAAATTAGTGACTGCTCTCTCCTAGTGCAGCTAATGTAGCGTAGAGTGAGTGGCTTACTGAGGCATTGCATAACTCTCAGCCAATATACTGTTTGGCTGAGCATCATAGGACATTTAGCCATATCCCAATATAGGGATTTCACGTCAAATATAATGTTTTTAATTGCTCAGTGAATTCCATAGCATAACTCCCATCACAGCCTGAATTTCAAATTTTAATCCGAAATATGAGAACTGGGAAAAATCTCCAATCAGCTGTTATTAGATTTTTGCCTGAAATGTGAAATTATTTAGAAATTATAACAATTCACAGTCTACATTGTGAGCTCATTCCTTTAGATTGCAAGCTCCTTTGAGCAGGGCCATCATTAACTCCTGTTCATCTAGATCAACCTTGGTTATATTTGTAGTGAACCCATTGTACAGATTTACAGTAAACGTTGGCGCTATGACTATAATAATAATAATAATAATAATAATAACGGTACAAATAACATAGTTCCCAGCCATGTGTGGCTGTGGCATGTTGAACTTTACAGGCCTAAATGAGGTGCCTTAGCATTAGATCAGATTTACTAACATTGGCTGATTCCATTCTCATAGATCCACAGCAGTGTTTTACCTATGGATACCTTATAACATATATATATATTCCACCTCTGCTATTCTGATCTTAATTTCTCAAGTCGCAGATCAAAACAAATTTCTGTTAGACCCCTAAACCAAACCAAACATCTTTATTCCTTTGGCACACAAAGAGTTAATTCACAGACAGCCGTCGTCTGGCACATAGAACCTTCCAAGAGCAAAGATAAAATGTCTAACATAAACCCTGTGTTGCTTAAATGTATTTCCCATTTAATAGACATTCCATCTATCTATATATGTGTATGTACAGCTTTGGGTGTAATACAGAGATACTGGAGTAATTCAAACCTGCAATTATTTTTGTTTGCATATGGTTCTATTGGATTTAACAATATATTAATATAACACACATATATAATAGATTATACTATTATTTACCTTCATATCCAGGAGGAGAGCTCCTTCATATACAGCAGAGGTGTCCAGTCTTGGCCCTCCAGCTGCTAGGATCTTTACTAATGATTGGACTGCAAACAAGATCCATATTTATTAGTTTATAAGACATTTTTAGAATTTGTGGTTGATAAAAACCACTAATATATTTAGGTATTTGTGTCTATATTGTTATCACTTTCCAGAAAGCAGCACTGCAGATAGGATGGCAAACTGGTAGAATAAAATGGCATACAGTGATTTTTATGTACTGAAACAAAGGATTTACAAATGACTGGTCACCATAGCGTGCAATTAAAAAAATATTAATGGAACATCATGTGTACACAGGTATACAACAAACTAATTGAAACTGACTCATATTTAAAAATAAGATTTTAGGCCAAAGTAGACGAAATTAATATATACAGGTTTATTATGGTTAAATAGAGATCTTGAAGTGAATTTCAAAATTAAAGTCAAAGTATCTGCACTAGAAACATTCTCTCAATCAGCACTGCTTTCAGTTCGGCTTTTCTGGCCTTCAATTTGAAATTCACGTCGAATTCTCACTTCTGTAAATAACCCTCATAGTTGACTTGGAGAATTTTTCCAATTCGATTATTTCGGCCTTAACATGTGAAATGCTCATTTTATTAAATTGAGCTCTTTTTAATTTTCCACCTTGGAAATTCTAACTTAAAATGGGCATTGATCTTTATCAATCCTCCACAATTCGCAGTTCAGTGAATACACCCCACAGACCTGGAATAGCAGAGCAACCAGAGTGCTAATGTCCTGGTCATCTGTCTCCATTGACTCCCAGTAACTGGTGTCATTTGGTCATTACAAGAATAAAGTCTCCACTGCAAACACTGCTTTACTGTGTGTTCTAATATTCTCTCTGCCATACATCCAATAATTCCAAAAACATAAAATTAGCACGAATGTTCCATTTTCTGTGCTCGGCATATCACAGGCAAACTGCTGTATGGTACCAATTAAACCACTTAATTGTAGCACTGGGACTTACAATGCAATAATTAAAAAGAGGGTGTGAATCAGAACAGATCCAGCTGAGAAAAAAAAAAAGAGAAATGAAACAAAAACAACAAAAATATAAAAACATGAACTTTTAATGTCTGAGTACCAACAAATATGAGACTTTAGGAAATGGATAGTTAATGTTTAGACATTTTAGTAAATAGAACAATATTGTAATGAAGGATACTTTCACCCAAATACGCATATTTCCTTATTCTACAACTCTAATCACACTCAGGCAGCCACATGTTCTCTGGAGATGCACAGTATGTGGAGTTGGAGAGAATGTCTATTACTGATTATTGGCCTTTATTAATCCATTCTATTTACACACTGATCTGGCTCCAATTACATCTAGATGTTTTTTTTTTCCCCTTTATTTTCTATCTACTAGTACTGACACTCTCATCACACCAAGCTGGACAGGGGAAGTTGGGTCTTAAGCCCAACAAATGCTATACAGCTGTAGATGAGTCAATTAACACGTGATCCACTTAGATTCCCTTTAAAATCCAGAACAATGAGGAGCAAACAGACATGTATTACCTGCTTGAGGAACACCAGACATCCAGCCCTGTGCTAATAAGGTGTTAAAATGTCTGTTACTAGGAAAAGCACACCTTGTTTAAAAAGCACAGGGGTCATTCTGTAACTCTGTTCCTACAATCTCCTCCAGGCAACTGAAGCTGGGCTGACTGTATTACTACCAAACTAATGGCTAGTTTAATTATTATTATTATTATAATTATTAATAATGCAAATATTATTGTTGTTGTTATTATTATTATTATTTTAAATTATTATTAAACATAGACTCCTCTAAAAAAATCATAAATAATACTAATTTAGAAAGCTATGTATATTAATAATATTTAAAAATGTATTAATATAGTCTCCTCTAACTGCTGACAAAATGTAATATTAATATTCATTAATTATATTTAAACTAGCTTCCTCTAAAAACAATAATATTTATTAATAATATTTAAAAATAATATATTCTTGATTAGTTCTTTTTATCAGCTTTAATTTCGTTTCCTCTGTCATTTTGTACCCCTTATTAAATATTACAGCTGCCCCTAGCTCACCAGGAGAGATCTGCTTCCCCTATTACCCAGATGACACCCCGCCGGATATAGTAAAACCCATTAAAGGTTACTCTCCTATCCCCAGAGATAAAAATTAATTCTAATTTCTCTACCTGTCCTTTTATTGTACTGGAGCTTGTCATTGAGATCCTGTCTATTGCAGGCAAATTATGGGAGAAGGAAATATATTATATTATATATATATATATAACTACTATGCAGTATATTATACTATTATGCAGTATATTACTATATATATATATATATATATATATATATATATATATATATATATATATATATATATATATATATATATATATATACATATACACACATAAATACAATAGTTTATTATAAAACATCCTAAAATATAAAATATGCAAGTGTAACAGTGTCTAAACGGTATTTGAAATATTTTATAATTAGGGTAAAATGTATCCAAATTTTCTCCATACACATAGTGCTATAAAGCTATCTATCGCTGTATATGTGCATATTTATATATACATTATCTTATTGCACACAGAATGTTCAGCTCGAGGTGCACTTAGTGATACAATGAACCCCATCGTTAAAAATACAGTATCAGCTCATTACCTCAAAGGCTGAAGTCTCAGTGACATGAGAGATGACAAGTCCTCGATGATCCTGCAGATTCAGAAATCTGAAACAAAACAAAACCGCTTTAACTATTATGAATGAGAGCCCTGGGCTTCTTACTAAAAATAAAATAAAAAAGATGATATATTTTAAGACCTGCTTATTTTTCTGTCCCCAAACCAAAGTTTGCAAGATGGTAGTTTTTTAAATTTGTTTCTTTTTTTTTTTTTTTTTTGCTGTTGATGTTTTTAGTGTCTTAAAAAAAAATACCGAAAAATAAATAAAAAAATAAGTAAAAAGGACGTTAAGTGCAAATGCTTCAAGAGATATTCACACTTTAAAAAAATATATACACAAAAACCAGGCAGGCAAAACATCCATTATCTTGTGATCTATTATGGAACAAAGTTCTCTGGCAAAGCAGAGTAAAACTAAAAGCTCTCCTAATGATCATCAGGTCCTAGAAATGGAGATAGCTGTAAAATTGTCAGAGAGTTCCATTTGGAACCCTGAGTGATACAATGTATCAGAAGCCCCTGTTCTGCTGCCTGATGTAGATCTGTCTTCACACTTTCTTCATCATCCGTGTTCATCTGGGGCATCAGCACCATAAACCATTAACTCTGGCTTTCCTTTCATCTTGAAGGTGGCGAGGTTGCTATTTATCCCCTAGCAATCAATGAGTGGCGTCACCAGTGTACTGTAATGACGATTGCACCATTAAGGATGACAGTTTAGAAAGAAGAGGGCAATGGTGATCCCTCCCAGAGCCAGTCCAGCTCTGAGCACTGAATGCATCGCAGGATCACCCTGTATCTCCACACTGCTCATCTGCCTGTCTCAGCCCCCTGCACTGGGTCCTTTGCTGGCTTCTTCACTCACACACAATGGAGACCAGGAAGGAGATGGTCATGTTCCTGGAGGGAGGTCAGCTTGGCACTCTAGTTGGCAAGAGGCTGTCTAATTTGTCGGACACAGTAGGAAGCCCCATTCAGGAGCCGCAGGACAAGATGATTTCTAGAAACTGCCTGAGCCCCAGGTCTGTTCCTCTGACACCCCGGGAGAGGGTCCAGGAGGAGGGGGACATGGCAGCAGGGCCGGACAGCAGGATCTCGCCCACTCACCCAGCTCCTCACTCAGACTCCCTGTCTGCCAAGGGGCAGCACAGCAGCTCGGACACCGAGTCGGATTTTTACGAGGAAATTGAAGTCAGCTGCACCCCGGACTGCACCCCAGGCGGCCCCGACTACCAGCACAGCAAAGGTACCAGGCAGCCCCCTACTCCCCCGGGCATGGCATGCTACCCAGCTCACAGCGCGCTCTGCCAGCATGTCACCCTGCACTCACTGCCAGCACACTACCCTCCACTCACTGCCAGCATGCCATCCTGCACTCACTGCCAGTGTTCTACCCTGCACTCACTGCGAGCATGCCACACTGCACTCACTGCCAGCACACTACCCTGCACTCACTGACAGCATGCCATCCTGCACTCACTGCCAGTATTCCATCCTGCACTCACTGCCAGCACACTACTCTCCACTCACTGCCAGCATGCCATCCTGCACTCACTGATAGTATTCTACCCTGCACTCACTGCCAGCATGCCATCCTGCACTCACTGCCAGTATTCCACCCTGCACTCACTGCCAGTATTCTACTCTGCACTCACTGCCACTATTCCACCCTGCACTCACTGCCAGTATTCTACCCTGCACTCGCTGCCAGTATTCCACCCTTCACTCGCTGGCAGCATGCCACCCTGCACTCACTGCCAGTATGCCACCATGCAGTCACTGCCAGTATGCCACCCTGCACTCGCAGTTACTATGCCAATCTGCACTCACTGCGATCATGACACCCTGTACTCATCGTAACCATGCCACCCTGCAATTATAGTTACCTTGGCACTCATCCCTCAATGCCAGCTTGTCACCTAGCTTCCATCTCACTCACTCTGTTCAGCAAACATCACTATCAGAGCTTAGTGCCCACATCGCCTTATTAACTAAACAATATGGGGAGATCTGCTTTTGTTTATTAACAATATGGGGAGATCTGCTTTTGTTTATTAACAATATGGGGAGATCTGCTTTTGTTTATTAAACAATATGGGGAGATCTGCTTTTATTTACTAAAAATAAGGATAGTTGTTTTATTTAATGAACAATGTGGATACATCTTTCATTTAATAAACAATATGGATGCATCAACTTTTATTTGCTAAACGATAAAAGGAGATCTCCTTTTGTGTACTATTTAAAACATATTATTGAAAATGGTTTATTTGTTAAGCGAGATTACATTTCTCTTTTGATACAATAAATAATATAGGAAGGCTGAGACACAGCAATGGTTAGATAATGCCAATGTATTATATAATTTAACACATTTTAACATTTTAATATTGAGATATCTCAGTGATCAGCTCATTTAGTTTACTAAACTATAACAAGGTCTTAATGAATGAATGGTGAGTTTAATGAATGCACAGACCATTTATTTAATGAGTAATACGTGAATATTTCATTGTGTAGATTACTGTATATAAAGAACAAAACGTGAAGGTCTCCGGATTGTTTTATTTACTAAACAATATTTGTGCATTCATTAGATGATGTTCCTGAATACAAAACCTAATATCAATTGACAACAGAACAGTACAGACAATTGGAAATATGTTTGTGTGCATGTTTTGATGGTTAGCCTGTTAAATTATTATTATTTGTATATATAATAATTCAGATCACTATTTGGAGATGCTTTTATTGCACACATAGTCCTAGTATTAGTATCTGTAAAATGAAACTCCCCTTTCTGGGACTCAGTTAAACCTCTGTCTTTGTACATTGCTATATGAATGAGTCTACCTTTCTCTCCCCTGTGATCAGCACAGTAGGGAGGTTGACACCTTTCCCCTTTGCTCAAGATCAAAGATTTTGTTGAGGAAGCAGGACTCAGATAGCGCCTGGATGACCATAAAACAATGGCTAGGGGACTGGAGGCTCCTGCTAGCCTAGGTGCGGCCAGGGAGCTCCTTTGCATGTTGGTTGTAGGTCCAAATGATCTTCTCACTTTTCTACATCCCTGGCGCCAGCTAGGAAATTGTATCTGTAAAAAAAAGTCCTTTGGTGTCCCTCACAAAGAGCCCTGGTTGAATATGAATGGATACAAGCTATAGAATCTTATAGTAACCCGCCTTTGGGCCCCTTGTCTTTGCATTTGAGATGTTTCTGGTTCAGAGTCAGGTTGGACACATTAGTAGAACATTAGACAACTGTCCTTTGCAAGGACCAAGCTCAGACCACAGGACACAGCCATGCCAGACCTCCATTTCGGTAGGACCTGCCAGGATTCTTTAGATCTGCTCATTCAGGTGTTTTTTTTAATTTATAAAAACACTTTTTAATACAATATCTACTGGTCAAGTTCTGTAGACAAACTATTTTTGCACATCTATTTATTTATTTTACTTAATTATTGCAATGATATATATACTTGGAGCAATAGAAAAACAATATAGTCTAACTGCTGTTCTCCCATATTCTATAATTTATTGCAATATGAGTGAAGATTAGTGTGACCCTGGGGTAGGAATTATATAGTTCCTTATATCTCTGCTGGCCTGTTTCAGGTTAGGTGCCCTCAGAGTTCTAAGATTTATTTTGTTATTACTTGGACCTCAGTACAAAGCTACATCCCTGACAGTGCTGGTAGTAACTCATTGAAGGTCAACTGATTGTTCTCATAGTCTTGACCGTTTATGAGAGGTCATCCCATTTGCAAAAGAGGCAAGCAACGTGACAAAAACTGCAATTAGGAAGATTAACTTAAATGGAGAATTTCAACCACATAGGAAATGTAAATTAACTAGCTTAAATTGCTGTATAACGTTGCATTTTTTTCAGATTATTATATATTTAGCCATTTTTCCTATAAATTAAAGACATGGTATGACAAGGTATATATTGAAGATACTTGAGATATTATATGAAATACAATCCAGTTTCCAGTTTACGGTAATGGACAAAACTCGTTAAATATGGCTCCCATAGAGGTTTTAGCCTTCAGAAAAGGAGACATAAATATGTTTTGGTGTAAATTTTAATCCCAATATCCATTATGTGCATTTTGAATTCATTTAATACACTAAGTCATATGCATTAAGCAGAATTATGGGGCAACGTTCTAAAGTGGAACAATCAGCAGGAACGTTCTATTAGTTTCCATGGCGACGGTTTTGCTTTTAGAACCTTGGATACAATTTCTCTTTATCCATATAACCCATTATGGTTTCATGAAGGTTTTTAAGAATGTCTATTATTTGTGTGGTTTGTTATATTTCATGTTCTCCACTCACCCACCCTGTACTGATCTAATGCTAGTACTTGACTCTTATATACACAGGTCACTGCCCTGAGGTTATGAGCAGCAGCCCTGTGAATGAAAGCGATTTATCAAAAGGAAGCGGTGCATCCCAGAGCTCCATGTCCTGTGCTGGGGACCAGATGCGCAGGTACAGAACAGCCTTCACCAGGGAGCAGATAGCAAGGCTGGAAAAAGAATTCTATCGGGAAAATTATGTATCAAGGCCGAGAAGGTGTGAACTGGCTGCAGCCCTCAACCTACCAGAGACCACCATCAAGGTAGGTACCTGTCAAAGTGCCAAAAGGCTGCTTAGATTTTTAGTCTTTTATTTTTAGCACAAACGGGCTAACAGGCTTCTGAACCACACATAATGGATTTCCCCCCCAACCAAACTAGGATGTGTAGTGAAATAACCCAAGAAATGCAAATTGTAGGAAAAATGTGAGAAAATTCGCCCATTCATTTATTTCTCCACTTCTAATATTTTGGCCTCAAATCTGCGATTCCCTTGTAAAAAATGTGCAATTGGCAGTTTAGTGAATACAGCTCACAGTGTGGTGTTTGGGGGAGGTGTATGGGTAATCGGTTTAGGGATTAGTAGCACAGTTAGATGGGTTTGAAGACACTATAAGCCATGGTCTGTCTTGGAAACAGGGGCCATCCCAGACAGAGGTCTCCTATAGAGTGTCAGGTTTAATGCTTGCTGATGAAAGCCAGACTGCTGGTAGAAACGTTAATTTATGTTAACTATAAGTGATTGTTTTTACTTACCCCATGCTTTGAAGTTGTCTCCTAATGCATGGAATGGACTGAGTTAGAACTGAGAGAGAAAACAATTAATTTTCTCTGTTTAATTTTTTTTGATGTCTTTGTCTAATCATTTGAAGTTCTAGACCCATTTCCTAACCTAGCTCTTATTCTTGTTCTGCAAGGTATGGTTCCAGAACAGGAGGATGAAGGACAAGAGACAGCGCCTGGCCATGACTTGGCCTCATCCAGCTGACCCTGCATTCTATACCTACATGATGAGCCACGCAGCTGCCACTGGCAACTTACCTTACCCTTTCCCATCTCACCTACCTCTTCCTTACTACTCTCACATGGGAATTGGCACAACTTCAGCCTCATCAGGCACCCCCTTCAGCTCACCTCTAAGACCACTGGACACTTTCAGAGTCCTCTCCCATCCCTACCCCAGGCCAGAACTTCTGTGTGCATTCAGACACCCCTCTCTGTATGCCTCCCCTGCCCATGGACTTGCTGCTGGAGGGAACCCCTGCTCCTGCTTGGCATGCCACACTAGCTCTGCCAATGGATTGGCACAGAGACCTTCAGCTTCTGACTTTAACTGCTCTTCCACATCTAGATCAGACTCCTTCATCACCTTCACTCCCTCAGTCTTGAGTAAGGCCTCCACGGTTTCGCTAGACCAGAGAGAAGAGGTCCCACTGACCAGATAAAAAACACAATTCTTCTCCTACATGCGTCAGTTTCGCAATCGTATAACTGATTTACCATGTTGATGTCTTAATCCAGTATGCCAGTTTTTGATGAATGGTGGCATTGAAATGTACCAGGCCATAAGTTATATCTTCACCAGAGCAGCCAACAAAGTTATGGAAGCAGTGAATGGAATGTCTAGGATACTACAACACAAATAGGACTACTTTTTAAAAAGGGATTCTTTTTTAGAGCAAACCATTTCTCCATTTATTTCAATTTGGGTTTAAATGAAATGCATAGGACTAAAAAAAAAATGCCAGTCTGGAATACTTGAATGTTGTATTGACTAAAACTTATAAATACATATATATTAAGAAAAAAGGGGGTGGGGGGAGGGGCTGAAATGTCATGTATAAGAAAGTGCAGGAGTGCATTTCATGTAAGAGGTGGAACAATCTCAAGAACAACTGCAACCAGTATTATCCATTTCTTAAATTGCTCTATAACACGAACATATTATTATACATTAGCTGTGCAGTTCTACTTTGACATAATTACTGTAATATTTACTTTTTAAATATTTTATTTGTATTTTTTTTCTTCAACAAATCTTCACACCCCCTTGATTTCGTTTTCACAATATTTTAGGATTAAACACTGGGATTTTGGGTGAAAATCTGAGCTAAATGAGGAATTATAAAAATTCTACAATTAATGCAAGTGGTGTATCTTCAGCTACTGAACAGCACACACAGTGATTAAATTATCTAGAGATGTATCTGTAAGGAAGACTTTTTGAATGTATATTAATTTTCTCAGGGTGTAAACCCTCTGCCAGAATTTAACAAGGCTACAGGGAAAAGATTATATTTGCCAAATCCCTGCTCTATGCCACCTCTTTGCAAATTAGAATACACGCTTAAATCATTTCTTCCCCTTGTTTTCTCTTCTGTGTACAAAAAAATTATCTTTTTTGAATTTTTGTTTGTTTTATTCTACATTTCTTTTGTTATCGCATTTGTTTCAGGGAACTTGTTTACATTGTGAAATATTTGACACTATTTATATTTTTGTTCTGCTTTTGTTGCACACGCAGGGCTAGATTTTAATTTGTCTACCTGGAATTCTGTAGAAACAAAAAACTTGCCTTTATTTTAAAACCGATCATGACTGGGTTTGTAAAATCTTTGCAATTTGCGTCGTTTGTGAAAATAATGAACTCAGTCTAAAAAAAACATAAATAAATTAATAAAAAAAATCAAATAAAAAAATCGTTACAATGTTCTCTTGTAAAAAAAATTGAAAAATAATAATATTTGTATTTTTGTAAATGGTTTAAAAACAAAATGATTATTTTTTTTGGATCATTTGAATTACATATGAGGCTAGATGAAGTAAGGTTTTCAGTCGTTCTCAATGGCAGGCTATCTATAACAGCCCTCATTTGTGTGTGGGGTAATTGGTAAATATTAGTATGTATTCTGTCCAGATATTTTATAACGAGCAATTCATATTGTAAACGCAACACATTTAAATATTTATATGTTCTACTAACAGATCTTTTATCTGACATTTTCGATATTTTTTATGACTTTAATGCATTTAATTGCATTGTTGCAAGAAAATTGCAATGTTATAGGAAAATATAACAATTGTCTAAAATAAGTACATAATATCATCTTAAATCCGATGGGGAGATACACCAAAAATATTCTCAATAATTTCATTTTTGTATGTGCATATTTTATCATAAATTACAATAATAAGTTCGGTGAGAAGGCAACTCACTATCAGTTTCCACTATGGTAAGGGGTGACAATGTAAGATTTGGTGTTTAAACCAAATACACATATAGGAAATGGTGAGTGTACGTACACACATCGGTTGTACAATCAAATAGAACCACACGCAATATTATTTTTAATGTTATTAATTTGTAATATTATTATTATTATTATTATTATTATTATTATTATTATCTGTAAGTGCCAACATATACAGCAGCGCTGTACAATTGGATTCCACGAGCCATATAATGTACCCAATATACTACATATATATATATATATATATATATATATATATATATATATATATATATATATATATATATATATATATATATATATATATATATAGTATATGAGCTATATATATGTACCCAATATACATACACACACACACACACACACACACAATGTGACTATGCACACACATACATACATACAAACACACACATGGTTCATGCTGCAGCTAAATAACCTATAGCAGGTTATAAGTAGACACAGGGTTGAAGGAGATATGAAGGTTGAACTAATGCCCTTTAACAAAGACAAAAATGAGTTGTCTGATGTCTGCAGCAATCCTGGGATGAACACGATCAATGCTAAGCCCTAGTGTACAATCAGTAGCCTTTAATTGACTGTATTTTATGGGTAATTGAGCCACCAGCTACAAATAGAAGCGGAACATATTACAATATTTTAAACAAGGACGAATTGCTGTTAAATATTTGCATCCAGCGTGCACAGGGTTAATGAGTTTGCTGGGAGAGGGATTTTTTTTGTTACATAGAGGACAGGATCTTAGCATCACAAGGTGCATGTAGGTTGGGGGGGTTATATATATAAAATTTAAGTTATTAATATTTTTTTTTTGGTGTGGGGGACTGGTACCCTGCTTTGTGTACCAGCTTAATGGAGGTAAGATTTTGGCTGGTGGGAGCTAGAGAAGATGTTGGTGAATCCTTGTATCTCCTCAGTGATCCCAGCTTTTACCCTGCACAGCTCAGCTCCATCACAGTCAGCCCCTGGTTGTTAGCTGTTGATTGATTGCCTTATTAAAGCGTGTTCTTGTAAGTGTGACCAAACTGATTACAAAGTGCATGTTTAGAATAAAGCTCTTGCTAACAGCCAAGTAAGACTTGGGGGGAAGGGGTGTAAGAATAGCTGGTTAATAATTTATCATCCCAGTGGAAATCTGCTTTAACTAAATTTACAGTGTCCAGGAAATACCCTGCCTATAATCAGTCAAGCCTTTACCCAAACTACATGTCACATTACAGGATAAACCCAGCAGTCAATCTGCTGCCTGTCACAGTCAGGGCTAAGCACTGAGTGCACTGCTTGGCACGGTTAGTGAATGGGGACAGAGCATTGTGTACTGGGTTCTGTGTACTCAGCAGTGCAGGGATTGTGCTGCTGTGTACACTGGTTGGAGTGTTTAATCAGACAGCACTCTGTGTGTGAGGTGTAGTGTGTACTGTGCTTTATAGACCTTGTTATGTGATGATTAAATTAATAGATACATTACTATGTGTTGTAGTGTGCATTGCCCACTAGTACATGCATTACCCTGTATGGTAGAGCTGTACTCTGGGCTTATGCTACAATGGTGTTCCAATGTTCATTGTTGTTTGTTGTAGTGTATTGTCAGTAGCACAGGCACAGCAATGTGTTACTTCTTCTGAGGTCTTGGTTTTGCTAGTTGTTTTATTGTATATTGTCCGCATTGGCTATATGGATTAGTGTGTCCTGTAGGAGACTGCTACTTCTATTATAAAGGGGGAGATTTAACAATAAAGAGACAATTACAGAATGTTACAGGAACAATAGGCTGATAGGACCTTGCTCGAAAGAGCTTACAGTCTAGAGGTTATTTATTGTGTGTTGTAGTGTGAACTATCCATAATGCAGGCATTGCTTTGTGTTTAATGTACTGTACAACCATGCAACTATGTATACTAATGGTGCAGTGTATACTGTATATCACTATAGCTATGTATACTATGTGGTGCAGTGTGCACTGTATATCACTGTAACTATGTATACTATGTGGTGCAGTGTGCACTGTATATCACTGTAACTATGTGTACTATGTGGTGCAGTGTGCACTGTATATCACTGTAGCTGTGTATACTATGTGGTGCAGTTTATACTATATATCACTGAAGCTATGTATACTATGTGGCGCAGTGTGTTTATCACTGTAGCTGTGTATACTATGTGATGCAGTTTATACTATATATCACTGTAACTATGTATACTATGTGGTGAAGTGTGCACTATATATCCCTGTAACTATGTATACTATGTGGCGCAGTGTGCACTGTATATCACTTTAACTATGTATACTATGTGGTGCAGTGTGCACTGTATATCACTGAAGCTATGTATACTATGTGGTGCAGTGTGCACTGTATATCACTTTAACTATGTATACTATGTGGTGCAGTGTGCACTGTATATCACTGAAGCTATGTATACTATGTGGTGCAGTGTGCACTGTATATCACTGAAGCTATGTATACTATGTGGTGCAGTGTGCACTGTATATCACTGTAGCTATGTATACTATGTGGTGCAGTGTGCACTGTATATCACTGAAGCTATGTATACTATGTGGTGCAGTGTGCACTGTATATCACTGTAGCTGTGTATACTATGTGGTGCAGTTTATACTGTATATCACTGTAGCTATGTATACTATGTGGTGACGTGGTGCAGTGTGTTTATGTAGCTATGTGTACTATGTGGTGCAGTGTACACTGTATATCACTGTAGCTGTGTATACTATGTAGTGCAGTTTATACTGTATATCACTGTAACTGTGTATACTAGGTAGTGCAGTTTATACTGTATATCACTGTAGCTGTGTATACTATGTAGTGCAGTTTATACTGTATATCACTGTAACTATGTATACTATGTAGTGCAGTTTATACTGTATATCACGGTAGCTGTGTATACTAGGTCGTGCAGTTTATACTGTATATCACTGTAGCAGTGTATACTATGTAGTGCAGTTTATACTGTATATCACTGTAGCTGTGTATACTAGGTCGTGCAGTTTATACTGTATATCACTGTAGCAGTGTATACTATGTAGTGCAGTTTATACTGTATATCACTGTAGCTGTGCATACTATGTAGTGCAGTTTATACTCTATATCACTGTAGCTGTGCATACTATGTAGTGCGGTTTATACTGTATTTCACTGTAGCTGTGTATACTATGTGGTGCAGTTTATACTATATATCACTGTAGCTATGTATACTATGTGGTGATGTGGTGCAGTGTGTTTATCACTGTAGCTATGTGTACTATGTGGTGCAGTGTACACTGTATATCACTGTAGCTGTGTAAACTTTGTGGTGCAGTATGTACTCCAGATTTAGCTGGACTGTTTACTGTAATACAGACATTGCAAGGTGTTGCAGGCTTGTTTGGAGTTTTGCTCAGTTAATTCTAATCCACCCATTGTGACAAGTTACAGTGTGTGATGTACACTAACACAGATATAATCAGGGAAGATTACTGGGAATATGTGAAAATAACACATTGTGATGAGTAGTGTGCACTAATAATACAGACATGGCTGACTGTTGTATGAGTAGTGTGCACTAATAATGCAGCCATGGCTGAGTGTTGTGTGAGTAGTGTTCACTAATAATACAGACATGGCTGACTGTTGTATGAGTAGTGTGCACTAATAATGCAGCCATGGCTGAGTGTTGTATGAGTAGTGTGCACTAACAATACAGCCATGGCTGAGTGTTGTATGAGTAGTGTGCACTAATAATACAGACATGGCTAAGTGTTGTGTGAGTAGTGTGCATTAGTAATACAGACATGGTTGAGTGTTGTGTGAGTAGTGTGCACTAATAATACAGCCATGGCTGAGTGTTGTATGAGTAGTGTGCACTAATAATACAGCCATGGCTGAGTGTTGTGTGAGTAGTGTGTATTAATAATACAGACATGGCTGAGTGTTGTGTGAGTAGTGTGCACTAATAATAGTTCTGGTTGTGTAGTGTTCACTAGTAAATGGCTAATTGCTGTGTTGTGTTGAGTATTGCATTAAAACATACATTGCTCTGTGACTTAGTGTTGAACTGTTTACTATACACCTAAATATGACCTATAATGAAGTGCCAGGTTTGCAGAGTTGCTTATCCTGGGCATAGCTTCTAATACTGGGCATGGCTTCTTATACTGAGCATAGCTTCTAATACTGGGCAGGACTCGTTATACTGGACAGAGCTCCTTATACTGGGCATAGCTCCTTATACTGGGCATGGCTCCTTATACTGGACAGAACTCCTTATACTGGGCAGCGTTCCTTATACAGGACAGAGCTCCTTATATTGGGCATAGCTCCTTATACTGGACAGAGCTCCTTATACTGGGCATGGCTCCTTCACTGGCCAGATCTCATTTTACTGGGTATGGCTCCTTATACTGGACAGAGCTCCTTATACTTACTGGGCAGAGCTCCTTATACTGGGCATAGCTCCTTTTACTGGGCATAGCTCTTTACACTGGGCATAACTCCGGATACTGGACAGAGCTCCTTATACTGGGCATGACTCCTTATACTGTTCAGAGCTCCTTATACTGAGCATAGCTCCTTATACTGGGCATGGCTCCTTATACTGGACAGAGCTCCTTATACAGGACATAGCTCCTTATACCGGGCAGAGCTCCTTACACTGTGCATAGCTCCTTATACTGGACAGAGCTCCTAATACTGGGAATGGCCCCTTATACTGGGCAGAGCTCCTCATACTGGGCATAGCTCCTTATACTGGGCGGAGCTCTTTACACTGGGCATAGCTCCTTATACTGGACAGAGCTCCTTATACAGGACAGAGCTCCTTATACTGGGCAGAGCTCCTTATACTGGGCAGAGCTCTTTACTCTGGGCATAACTCCGGATACTGGACAGAGCTCATTATACTGAGCATAGCTCCTTATACTGGGCATGGCTCCTTATACTGGACAGAGCTCCTTATACTGGGCAGAGCTCCTTATACTGGGCAGAGCTTTTTACTCTGGGCATAACTCCGGATACTGGACAGAGCTCATTATACTGAGCATAGCTCCTTATACTGGGCATGGCTCCTTATACTGGACAGAGCTCCTTATACTGGGCAGAGCTCCTTATACTGGGCAGAGCTTTTTACTCTGGGCATAACTCCGGATACTGGACAGAGCTCATTATACTGAGCATAGCTCCTTATACTGGGCATGGCTCCTTATACTGGACAGAGCTCCTTATACTGGGCATGGCTCCTTATACTGGACAGAGCTCCTTATACTTACTGGGCAGAGCTTCTTATACTGGACAGAGCTCCTTATACTTACTGGGCAGAGCTTCTTATACTGGACAGAGCTCCTTATACTAGGCATAGCTCCTTATACTGGACATAGCTCCTTATACTGGGTATGGCTCCTTATACTGGGCATGGCTCTTTATACTGGGCATGGCTCCTTATACTGGGTATGGCTCTTATACTGGACAGAGCTCCTTATACTGGGCATGGCTCCTTATACTGGGCATGGCTCTTTATACTGGACAGAGCTCCTTATACTGGGTATGGCTCCTTATACTGGGCATGACTCCTTATACTGGGCATGGCTCTTTATACTGGACATAGCTCCTTATACTGGGCATAGCTCCTTATACTTACTGGGCAGAGCTTCTTATACTGGACAGAGCTCCTTATACTGGACAGAGCTCCTTATACTGGACATAGCTCCTTATACTGGGCATAGCAGGGTTTTTTTGTGCCAATGGAGTGCTATTCTGGAGCCACAGAGGGCTTGGAATACTGGCCAGTGCTCACAGCATCCAGACCTCACTAATGCTTTATCTCCCAGGCTCCAGAAACTCACTCCCAGCTGGTCTGGATACCTGACAGTCGCTTTGTTTTCAATTATTCTTGTGCTCGATTTGTTACATTATATTCCTGAAGTTGAGCAGTCAGTGGATGTACCCGCTACCATATGTCAGCCTACAATACCAGCCAGCCAGCTACAATGCTTTAATGAACAAAACTCGCACCTTTGTTCCAAAAACATGTCCTTCTCCATTCAATCTGGGTGCAAATATGTTAATCAGCTTCTAACAGCTACAGTTTGAACTAGATAGATAGACAGATAGATATATAGACAGACAGATAGATAGATAGACAGACAGACAGACAGACAGACAGACAGATAGATAGATAGATAGGTAGATAGATAGATAGATTTATTTCCCACACAAACAAAACGAAAATGTATATATACAATGACACACACACACACAAAACTTCAACAACAACAAAATTATTTTCAATTATTTTCATTTATCTGACATTCCTGAAAGGTGAAAATCTGATTTCACAAAAATAACACAAAGCAGAGTTTTTCAAAATAATAATTCATGCAAAATAAACGTATAAAATGTATTCTATTCGTAAAAAAAAAAAACTTTTAAACGAAATGATTTATTAAATATAACTATTTTCTGCAATTTTATATAGAACAAAATCTTAATTCCCATTACAAAATGTGATATCTTAATATAAAACTCAATCTGATTTGATTTATTAAATTCTCCAAATACCAAATGTACAATTGTTTATTAGTTCATTTTGTGTATATATATATATAAAACGTTACATTCAGAGTTCACAGAACATTCTGTCATTGGAATGTTCGCCAAACTCAGTATTCCGAACTGATCCATATTAAATCGAAATAGATGTCTTTTCCACCTTTCCACCGGGGTTATTTTGTTAAGTGGTTTTAGATCAATTTGTAATGAAAACATTGTATAAATATTTAAATCGTTGCCCTGAACCAGCCAGTTAAAGGGAAAAATATGTTTATGTCTATAGCAGCTGCCGAATGGTTTTCTAAAAAAGCTAGATATTTAGATTGTGTTATAGCCTCATTTAAATCCTGCCTGGATTCGGCAGAATGAGAAGCGTGAATAGGCCAATCACTTTATAATGATGATGAATGGGGAATTAATTCAAATACAAGCAAGGCAATTTAGGCTTTCATCTGTTTAAATAGCCTCCCCAAATTATTCGCAATTGCAGGTCATATATTTAATCAATTGTCCAATCTTGTGAAAGTGGTATCCTCACAACTCAATCCGTATTATTTATAGAGCAACAGAGACCAGTGAACAGAATTGTGTTAACAGGAGCAATTACTTACAGGAGAACCGACTTGGAATGGAAAACAAATGTCTTCACTGCAATAAATGATAAAACTGGGTGATGTACATCTTACTACAGCCATGACACATAATGCTGGGGGTTACTGTGTTATTACAGTTAAAATGAACGAGCTGGACACATTCTCTCCACTTAAAGGGGTTACGCCAAACTTACAGAGTGCTTGACATTTGCTCCCTGATCCTAGAGTCCATCCTGAAAGGGTACTCATCACTCACTGGGTCCCCTTATTATAGTCACTGTCTTCTGACAATAGACCTTATACCACACATCTCTGTGTCTGTGTGTGGGAGGGATCACTGTGTTAGTATAAACTCATATAACTAATCTTTGCTTATACAGTGAAATAAACTATTGCAGAGATTTGAACAAAACCTTTTAGAAAGAAAAACCCAAATTATGTTATATAAATAATCAATAGTATTTATGTTATATGCTGTACCTGTACAGGGGTGTAGTGTTCATGAAAGGTCTGCATGTCAGTAAATTGCTACATAACTCACACATACACTACCTTTTAATATTTTTATTCTCCTATCTTTTTAAATCAGGTCTATATAACCATGTATCCATCTTGTCTATTGATAAATAAATATTATAGATATGGTATTTTTATTTTGTATTTTTGTAACATTTTCCAGATAGAAGTCATACAGAATTGTCTAGATATTGTCAACAAATATGAAGTTAACACAGTGTGTATTCAGATTGTGTTTATAGAGGGTATTTTTGATATCATTGCTGCAATTACTATTCTATAATTACACCCATTATATTTCACATTACTCTAAAATGATATACTTGATGTTAAAATACTCTATTTCATTAGACATATACAATATTTTGCCTGGCTGGGATATTCCTTTCCAAACAAGTCCATCATGTTTTTGCTTTTTTTAAATGTGTTTTGACATTTTTCTTCCTATTCTGCACATGGCAAACTATTTGCACACATTCCATGTCCCAATATTCCTGATTAGTGACTTGCAAATCCAGATACCTGTCCACCAAAATAATTATTTCATTACTGAGTGAGCATGTACAGCACCTTCCCTAGATAATTATTCTCAGTTTAAAGTATTCACTAATGAAAATATTTATCATGTTGTATACAAAGAAGAAAAAGGTGAGAACAGAAAAATAGCTGAGGCTCTAAGGAGCCTATCTCTGGAGTGACTTTGATGTATTGCTGTCCAATTAGTGCTTGTAATTGGTGCCCCTTGGGATGTAAAGACCCAGTATACTGAATATCCACTCCCAAATCTGCAAGTTAAAACACATACAAAGGCTTACCAACAGTGTGTTACATGCACACAGTGAGAAAAACGGGGACTTTTATATCTTAGTTTAAAATGAAAATAGCATCCTTTAATATCTATCTATCTATCTATCTATCTATCCATCCATCCATCCATCCACCCCAGTGTCATTATTACAAATAGACAAATCTTATAAGAATTTTGTAACACTGACATTTGGTTCATACATGTGCAGTGCCAACCATACATATAGCCACCAGTCAGGGTGGATGGTAGATAATGGGAAATATAGTTAACTAACATCCATTGTGCCCAGGGCAGCCATTACTACTCTAAGGTGTATATTTTATCATTTGTATTTTATTAGGTACCTACCAAATGCCAATATGTTATTAGTTTCATAACTAAAGATATCATACAAACTGTTTTTAATGTTTTATTGCTAAATGAGAGTCTCCAGCTGTCCAACCCCTTTTGTGCTGCTTTTTCTAAGGAGGAAGCATTAGTCCGAGTTGCAAAGGGCAGGTGTGATTGGTTGAGTGAGAGTGTCAGCTGACTGCTTTTAGCCTATCACAGTATCCATTGCTGGTATGAATTGGTATGGCTACAAGGAAGTGTGGGGACCAGGTTGTCAGTCGCTAAATGCCCTTATTTAGTGCTAGTCTGCTCAATAATATTTTAACACTGAACTGAACACTGAATGTAGGGGTGGTGCCAGAGAACTTCAGGTATTATAATCAGTGGAGGGAGTGGAGTAGAGGCGGGGGAGGGTGGGGGGCAGAGTTAAAAGGAAGTAGAAAAGAGGAGAAGTAGAATAATCGTTATTAAGAGCAGATTTTTCAGTACCTTGAGCAGCGGTAAACATGTAAAGGGCCAATTTATTAGCCTTACTGAACAGATAATGCCATCTAACCTCCCTGTTTAGTAACCTGGTTCATGGGTATCTCAAGTTGTCATGTTTCGCCACATTTGCCATTTTTGTATGATATTTCACTTCCCATATTTAAGGAAGAGATTGAAAAATGTATTATGTTTATTGTGATTGTTTGTTTTTTCTATTTTGTTTCAAATCTGGGAGTCATAAAATCAGGATGCGTTACATGGTCTATATGGGCTATGCCAGTGACTCAATCCAGGGCTAGCTTACAGGACCTTAGAATGTTGGGAGGTATAATCTTCAATTTGAGCCACTCTATACATTCTTCAATTGTAGTTGAAAACTGGCTTGCATGCTTAAGACCTAAATATCTGAATCAGAGAAATTACCCAGATTGTCTATTTGTACTAAATGACAATAATTGTACAGTTCTGTCGCTATCTTTTTTTTTTTTCACCGTGAGTGAGGATGAAAAGAGAGGCGGTATAAAAATATAAATATATAAATATAATTAGGTGATATAATTTCACTATGGTTAGATCTTTTTTTTTTTTTCTTTCGAAATACATTATTTAATAACATTTGTAATTGTAAAGTATATAATGATAAACAAACAAATAAAGACCTGTTACTTGAATCATATGGTCAGCTCGCAGTCATAATGTTGTCAGTATCATATAATGCAGGTGTTTGATTTTGATTCTTCTTGAATGCAAAGGGTTAAACCGTTTGTACTTTGGAAAGGTTTTTTTCTGGTTTAACTGACACAGAGTAGCATTATGCTCACCCAGCAAATTCTGTAAGATGAAGCAGAATGTATAATTAAATGTATATGACACACATTTGTATGCAAAGCACTTGGGCCCTTGATACAGCATTTTGTAATAAAGTATGGAAAGGAACACTGAAAATGCATAATGCAACTTGAGTGTAGACTGTATACACAACTACCTAATATATCAAATAAGACTCTCATGGGAAGTCATTTATCAATGTATAGATAGTCAAAAATACATAATACATGAATTGCCCAATTAATAATCATTGTGATGAAACAGTAAAATATTATATCTATCTATCTATCTATCTATCTATCTATCTATCTATCTATCTATCTATCTATCTATCTATCTATCTGTTTGTCTATCTATCTATCTATCTATCTATCTGTTTGTCTATCTATCTATCTATCTATCTATCTATCTATCTGTCTGTCTGTCTGTCTACACAGAAAAGGACATAATCACTACAGATTAAAAAAAATAATCATTGAAATTGACTTATCAATTTGCCAGAAAATGTCAGATTCATAATATTAGCCAATTAATCACTGATTACCTACTGATGTCATTGGAACTCTGCAAAATAACAATTTCACAGCTAGATTTCTTCAAACAAATTAATCTGGAGAGATTGCAGATTACGTGGGTTCTCCATAGGATGTGTGGTAGGGGAGGATTGACATTAAATGTGGAAATCTCAGTTTGCCAGATTAGTTATAAATTACTGT